ATGTGGTTAACAGTTTGTCAGAAAGAGATGAGTGCCTTTTTAGGAGTCTCATTATTTCATTTGGGCTGAAGCTAGAGTCATAATGATCTGGTAGTTTCAGCTTCAGTAGCTTCTGCTAGCTTATGGTCTGCTGGAGGCAGGAATCAAATAATGTGGCAGTCTCCATTTCAGAAAAACCCTGCTGTTGGTGTATGATATGAACCTGGAATGAGACTTAAAGGAGCCGTAGGCTGGTTGGTACCTTATTGTGTTCTGGATTGCTCTGTATTTTTGCTGCCATTCATAGAATCACAAAATCATTGAATGGTTTGGGTTGGAAGGGACCTTAAAGATCATCTAGTTCCATCGCCCCTGCCATAGGCCGGGATACCTTCCACTGGACTATGTTGTTCAAAGCCCCATCCAACCTGGCCTTGAACACTTCCAGGGAAGGGGCATCCACAGCTTCTCTGGGCAACCTGTTCCAGTGTCTCACCACCCTTCACATTGAAGAACATCTTCCTTACATCTAATCTAAATCTACCCTCTTTCAGTTTAAAGCCATTACCCCTTGTCCTATCACTACATGCCCTTGTAAAAAGTCCCTCTCCAGCTTTCCTGTAGGCCCCCTTTAAGTACTGGAAGGCTGCTGTAAGGTCTGCCTGGAGCCTTCTCTTCTCCAGGCTGAACAACCCCAACTCTCTCAGCCTGTCTTTATGGGAGAGGTGCTCCAGCCCCCCGAGCATCTTTGTGGCCCTCCTCTGGACCAGCTTGCTCAGGTGCACGTCCTTCTTATGCTGGGGGCCCCAGAGCTGGATGCAGTACTGCAGGTGGGGTCTCACGAGAGAGGAGTAGAGGGGGAGAATCACCTCCCTTGACACACTTCTCTTGATGCAGCCCAGGATGCGATTGTCTTTCTGGGCTGCAAACACACATTGCCAGGTCATAGTCTGTTTTTCATCCACCAGTACCCCCAAGTCTTCTCCGCAGGGCTGCTCTCAATCCACTCATCACCCAGTCTGTATCCATGTTTGGGATTGCTGTGACCCATGTGCAGGACCTTGCGTTTGGCCCTGTTGAACTTCATGAGGTTTGCACGGGCCCACCTCTCTAGCCTGTCCAGGTCCCTCTGGATGGCACCTCTTCCCTCCAGTGTATTGACCACACCACACAGCTTGGTGTCATCGGCAAACTCGCTGAGGGTGCACTCAATCCCACTGTCCATGTCTCTGACAAAGATGTTAAATAATACTGTTCCTGTTACAGACCCCTGCGCCATTGACCGCAACTCTTTGAGTGTGACCATCCAGCCAATTCCTTATCCACCGAGTGGTCTACCTGTGAAATCCATCTCTCTCAAATTTAGAGACAAGGATGTCATGTGGGACAGTGTCAAATGCTATGCTCAAGTCCAGGTGGATGATGTCAGTTGCTCTTCCCTTATCCACCAATGCTGTAACCCCATCGTAGAAGGCCACCAAATTTGTCAGGCATGACTTGCCCTTAGTGAAGCTGTGTTGGCTGTCAGCAATCATCTCCTTATTTTCCATGTGCCTTATCCTAGTTTTGAGGAGGATCTGCTCCATGATCTTGCTGGGCACAGAGGTGAGACTGACTGGCCTGTAGTTCCCCATGTATTCCTTTTTTCCCCTTTTTAAAAATGGGGGTTATGTTTCCCCCATGTTATGTTTTCCCATCTTCCTCTCAGATTAGTTCTCATGTTTGTTTCTTCTGGTCATGCCTCTTCCTACAGGAAAGAGAATTTATTCTGGACAGTTTCACTCTTTCCATGAGCATTTAACCATGAAGCTCACCTGAGCCCTATAAACATTAGTTTGCTGATAACTACTTTGGAGTGCTAAATCCTGTGCCTTGCCCTTACCCTCCCCAATAGCATCAAGTTAATATTCCTATCATGGTTGAAAAGCTTCTTTTTTTTTTTTTTCCCCTATTTAGTAAAGTCTAAATTCATAAGGAATTGTTAGCTGTGGCACCCCAAAGGCCTAGCAAGGCTTTTTGTTTAAGTGATTTGTCAGTTCTTGATAGATGTATGGAGGTTATTTGAGTTTTGAGGGCTCTGCTGCTTCCAGGCCTATGATTTTTGTCTACTAAACTGTGGGTAGATCCTTTTCCAGACCACCTAGCTTTGTGAAGAAGACAGGAGTGTTCAGAAATGCAACTTTGATTTTGCTAAATGCCTGGGTGCTCTGTACCACGTAGAATACATGCCCTGTGTGTGAAGGTGAGACGCTTGAGCTAGGGTATGCCGAGTGCTTGACTGTTGCAAATTCCTTACTGTCTTGAAAACCCTTTTCAGAGGCCTTTAATATTCTACACTGCAAATATTTAACTATCTTTGGAATTGTGTGTAATTTGCAGCTTTTTTGCCTCTAAATAGGAAGGCTGTCTTCTCAGGTGTTTGGGGCATTGTTGTTGGAGACAGGGTGTCAGCCAGTATTGTCATTGAGAAGGGGACAAAATCACCAGTTTCTTTTTAAAGGTAAGGAAACACAGGCTTTGTAAAAGGAAGAGAAGAGTCTCTTTTAAGTTTGGGTTTATCCAGATTTCCAGGGACATAACTGCAGAATGTGCTTGTTGACTATGATCTAAAGGGCTATTCACACTTGGAAGCTGTTACAGAATAACAGTATTCTGGAGGAAAGTGGCTGCAAAAAGAATTTTCTATTCTTCTTGGCCTTCTTCCAAGATGTTTTCTGGACAGAAGTGGGTAGAGACGGTATTTTTTGTATGGCTGGGAAAAAAAGACCAAGACTTGCCATCTCATGACAGTGTATAGAAAGATCATGAGCTGTTCATATGCTGGTTTGTAACACTGTAATGCCTTATCCTGCCAGACAGAAAAAAAAGGACAGAAGTGTGGAAGTTTTCTTTTAATGATCAGGACTTTTTTGAGGTGATAGAGTTACAGAGTAAAATGTTCCTCCTCTGTTGGTTTACTGTTTGTCTGCTCTGTAACGCTAACCCACTTAAAATTTGTGCGGCTCTTTTTGAAGTTATTTTAAACCCTCAGCAATGTGTACAGATTTTGTAACCTTGGATAAAAGCACCTGAGTCGTGGTTTCAGTTTTGCCCTTTCAGGCATGTGGAAAGTGCCCCAGCACATTTCAAGTATTTTGAGCTAGAAACTTCTTAGATATGGGTTATGGTTTCAAAGCTCAATTGATACAGAGTACGTCAAGGGAATTACATCAAGGGAATACTTCTCTGTTTCTTTAGATATTTAATATAGATTAAAACTTTGAGTTTACTTAAAGGATCCCATGGACTCCTTTTGGGGTTAATTATGTTGGAATATATGGCCTGGCAATTTTGGAGAGAGCACTCTCTGGCTGACTCCCTTCTCTGTTTTTATGTCTGTGCTGAATAGTTTATCCATCAGATGCTGAATTTAAGGAGTGGTTCATCTTTCAGTGACAGTACCTGTCCCAAGCTTTTAAACAGAGTAAGCTGAACTGCTCATCCATGTGAGTCTGTAGACAGCTCAGTAGTGTGTAATGGTAACTCAACAAAAAAGAGGAAGGGTGAGTGAGGAGTTGAGGAGAGGATTCTACTCTTGTCTGCCTAGTATTGTGGTGGTTTGGTTTTTTTCTTAAAATACGGGTGGATTGGTGATGAATCTTGGAAAATAATGAGTAGGAAAACTTCTGTATTGTGTCAGAACACCATCATGTTTCCCATATTTCGCAGTAATCACTGAAGTTACTCAGAAAGTCAGGGCACCACAAGTTAATATAAATAGCTCTCCTTGTATTGAAACACTTGCAAAATGAAAGTCAAGGTACAAGACATGGGAGAAAGGACAAAATGACAAGCTGGTGATGCAGAAGAGATGGCAGGATTAGTGACCATTACATGGTGCTACTTTGCATGGATTAGTGAGAAGAATATATGTAAATTATTGAGCAGCATAATCTCCTCCCATTATAATCAGACACCAGGAAAACAAAATTGTCACAGTGTTGATACCAGTTTGTTGTTTTCTTCAGCTTATTTGGCAAAGGTGAGATTTAAGGAAAGGCATGAAGCTGAATAAAGTACAGACTTTTTTTGCAAAGAAGTTTTTCTGCATATATATTAAAGCCTGGGCAACTCTTAGGCAAGGGTGTGTGAAAAATCTGAGATTTTAATTGAGGGAAAAAGAGAACAAGGAGAACATGGTAAATATTGTAAGAAGTTAAATGTTTCACACCCTCGTTTATACACAAAGATATTATCCTAATGAAGGACAACAAAGTTGGAAAAGACAAAGAAAGTTAAAAAAATTGATGCATAGGAAGCTCCTTGCCATAGTAAAATTAGAGTAACTACATAGTGTTGGAAGGTGGAGGAAGAGATTAAATATCTGAAATTAAAGCAAATATGTATTATTGACTTGTGTAAGAAACATAAATATCTAAAAGGAGACTGAAGTTTCTCACTCCATGGTATCTCCCCCTCATTTGGGTTCAGAAAAAACTAGGGACTGTTCCACAACAGTTAGGAAGTTTCTTGTACCTTACTTTGAACTACATGATAGGCATGTTCCAAAGGATGACAGACAGTTAATATTGTGCAAATATTAAAAAAAAAAGTGCTAATGCCTCTCAAACATTGGTTCTGGATCTTATAACATGTAAAGCTTTTATGAGTGACTCTGCAAAATAGTTTCTATGATTTTTGTTGGTTTGCAAGGAAGGGTGGTTTGCAATATAAAGGGGAGCTTCGTATTGAATTATTTTATATCTGAGAAAAGGACTTATAATCACATTTAATTGTGAGCCTTAAATGATTTTTCATGAGCAAGATGACAGCGAGCTCACATAACATGCCAAGATTTTGTACTCCTAGCATGCTTCAGAAACGTACTGAATTCTTCATATATGCAGCCTTATGTTTTAGTTTTTCTGGTGTACCTTAGTAAATAAAAGTGTATTTGTTATAAATTAAGGTATTCAAAAGCAATCTGTATGTTTTTTGAATTCTACTGATTGGCTAAAGGTTTCTTTCTGATTCTATTTCAGATGCATCCACTCGGACTATGTAATAGCAATGATGAGGAAGACCTATATGAATATGGCTGGGTAGGAGTGGTAAAACTGGAACAGCCAGAGTTGGAGCCTAAGCCATGCCTTACAGTCCTAGGAAAGGTAAGGGGGTAGATTGGGGTAAATGTTACATGTAACTGTTTCTCAAAAGGGTTAGTTCCTTTTTGAGAAAAATCAGCAAGAAATAAAACAAGAGAAAACTCACTTTACTCCACGAAATATTCCCGTTTTGCCTATTTTCACACTAGATGCTTCAGGGAAAGATAACGTCATAACTCAGTTGATAGAGATGGTGATGTGGAGCTGAGTGCACACATTCCCTTTTTGAACTCTGTAGGAACCTAACAAAGACCTCTGCAAAAATGGCTGTTTAGCAGAAGCAGTATTGGAGTAGAAATAGGGTGAACTGCAAGTGTGATGCTAACTCGATCAAAGGAAGCTTCTTATCAAAAGCAGTCAAAATTAAAGCATTTTATTGGTTTTCCTTAGGTACAGTTTTTTCAGAAGACATACATTAATTTCCTTTTTGGGGGTAAGAGGAGTCTTCAACCCTAGAAGATATTTCTTTGCTTTAATTGCAGGATAGATATCTCTAGTAAGAAGTGAATCTTACTGGTCAAAGAAATAAAAATTTTAATCTTGCTGGTATCTCTCTGTGGAATACAGCCTCTGGAATCTAAATTCCTTGCAAAACATCTCCCTTTGTTTTAGGGGGTGAAATCAGTAAGATACCATTACTGCTGCTGGATATGTTAAAAAGGAAAGCATAAACCTGTCATTTTTTTGTTCTCAGCGTAGAATGTTTGAGGATTGAGGTTATTATATGTTGACATTTGAAGTCTAGAGTAGTTGGAAGTGTGTGAAAGAGTGCAGGCCACAAGTTCTTCCAGTAACTGAGTGGTTGAAAACGCAAAAAATCTCTGGGGTTCATCCTAAAATCCAGCTGGCTCAAGTTCCTCAGTCTTCGGTAGTATAGTGTTGGTGACTTCAGGTGAGCAGTGAAAATGTAGTATATCAAGCAGAAAATAAAATCCTAGGTTGACGTTTTATAGGTAAAACTTGTCTCTGTATATTTATAAACAAAACTTCTAAACCCCCCACATTTCAAAGGAAATGGGAAACGATCTGCTTGTCTAAAATTTGCTGCAGGTTTAGCTTGTGTACGTGATGAGAAACATCTCTTTAAGAAGTGACTACCCTTTCTATTGAATTTCGGCTTAATACATTTTTTTTCCTAACTTGGAATAGTGTTTTTGTATCACAGAAGTTCCAGCTGATGCTTCTTTGCTCTTAGGAGGATAAAATCTGAGGATAAGGTCTCGTGAGGATGGAAATTAGAGAAGACTGGGTACTGAAAGATGCATAGTAGTCCATAATTAAACTCCAGGAGTAAGCCGAGTCTTGGGGAAAGCCATTTAAGGAAGGAATCTGTTCATTCCCTCCTGTCAGGCTCTTGAAAAGCATATGAGGAAGTAGGTGGGCAAAATGGATGAAGAAAGTGGAAACCACAGATATCCTGTAGAAACAATGCTATAAATATTTTCTGACATAGTGGCATTGCTTGCCTGACCCACTGCTATGTACCCAAATCCCGCCATGTCCTTTATGTTCCCCATGTCCCCAAAGCCACACTGATCTCTAGAATGAGGACACCTCAGTATCTGCTGATCCTAGCTTCCTGAAGCTTGGCCTGCTGAACAGCAGACCCTGGCTTTGCTTCGGGAGCTCTGTAGCATCTACTATGATGCATAGTGATAGTGATGTGAGTCCTGCACAGGGTGCGTCCAGGGAGTTTGGGCACCATGTTTCCTGTGTTTCCAGTTTAAGTGCAGTAATCTTAACAGGTGAAAAAAGAGTGGCCAAGGTTCTAGGCAATACTTGCTTCTCAGTAACTGTAATGCAGCTCCTTGTTCTGTATTTTCATGTTGTCATTTATCCTTCTCTTGCTGAAATATTTGTTCCCTATTTCATGCTTGCTGCTGTAGTTTCTTCTCTCCATCTTTTCTCTGCAACCCTTCTGCTCAGTCCCCCCTATGCTCAAGTTATGTCCTGAGTTAGAAGGATTTCTCAGAATTCTTTAAATATTGTTGAGTGCAGATAGCAGCAGGAGCATCAGCCATGAGCTTCTTGCAGGTCTGTCAATTAAGTCAGCCTGGTTATCTTACCAGTGGGAACAAATTGCATTGTGATTGTCTGGATCTCTGAAAAGTTCAGTTTCCGTGCAATTTGGTGCATATGGCTACATGAGAATTCAGTTTGGCCTCTAAACTGTTTTGCCTGAGTAAGTATCAAACCTGCTGCATGTGTCTAGGTGTCCTCTTCTGGTTGTTTTTAGGATTTGTCAGCTGTTTGACTTAAAAGAGAACATGAAAGGGAAGGGAGAGAGGGAGAGGGAGAGGAGGACAAGGGAGGGGAGAGGAGAGAGGGCAAGGGAGGGGAGAGGAAAAATGGAATCAAAAGGAAAAAGGAAAGGCAAGGCAAGGAAAGGAGAAAGGCAAGGAAAGGGGAAAGGAAAATAAAATAAAGTGGGGGAGGTGAACAGAAAAGGGGAGTGGAACTTCTTCCATTTAGAAAAGGAGAAAGAAATCAAGGAGTACAAGCCTACTGTTCCTCATTTAGTTTGATTTATCCTGCCCCCAAGGTGACTTGTCCTGCACTGTTTGACTTTCCAGACAAATACTGTGTTTGCCTTTCAGTAGAGTTGTGGTAAGCTCTTGCTTTTCCAAAATTCTGTGAAGTAGGCCTGCCCAACTGCAACATCTGTTGTGAAGATAACGTGGATGTTACAAGATGCAGGGCTGATGCAACATTTCAGAAACGTACTGGATTCTTGGATATATGAAGTGTTGCATTTCAGCTTCTCTGGTGTTGCTGATATCCAGATATTAAGCAAGTGAGATAAATGGCAAAGCAACCCCTTGTTACACACACATCTGCATGAATGACTCAGGTGGGTAACAGTAAGACTTCATTGAATGTGAATATTGTTACCTCCTTAAGAGATGTAGTAGAGTGCATAAAATTGAGTATATAAGGCATTTGAACTTCTAGACCACAGGAATTCTGCTTTGTCTAGTGAAGTCTGACTGTGTGATCAATTATACTGCCTGCTGGAAGCAGATATATCTCCCCTTTTCAGTTCCTGTTTATTTCCTAATGCTGGAATTGCCATTGGGATCTTCTAGTACCTATTCTTAGATCTTAATTCCATTAGAAGCCATTCTGTGAAATGAAAGCCAAATCTTGTATGTTGGGAAAGTGATGTGGTTGGATCAATTTGACCTATTGATTTGATAGTAGGAATAAAGTTGGTGCCAGGAAGGTGAGAGAAGTTAAGGACTTGCTTTCTTTTAAAACTGTCATGGGCATAATTGAAAATCTGCCTCAACAATTTAGGGTAAAATAAAACTGCCAGGTCAGTTGTCTGCGTATACAATTCCCTGTCCAGTTTGTGGCACATGTGTGCAATTCTCTTTCATTTGGACACTCTTCACTAAGAAAGCTAGTTTGGATATCCTCATCTTTGCTGTGAACTAAGAGGATGTGCATGGAGAGTTATCCTGGCTCAGCTGACAATTACTTTGCCTATCTTACATACATAAGGAATGGATAACCTTGTCAGTTTAAGCCTATCATAAATGAATGTGTTTAAAAGTTCAGACTAACTCAAAAGGTAAAAGAATTTGCAAGTCCTGTGTTAAGGGAGCCAATTTAAACTCGTTTCACTAAAACTGGTAAACACTTGTTTTGAGCAATATAGTAGTAGAAGCAAAAAGGTTAATGCTTGTGTCTGTGTGGTGGAATGCATGCATATATGAAGGAATAAATTATGAGGTTTTGTTTCATTTAATAGTAAAGGAAAAGAAAAAAAATAGAGATGATATTGTGGAAAGTTTGGAATATTGTGAAGTAGAATGTAGAGACTACTTAAAAGCAGTTTGTAGAGCTAAATTCCATGACACAGAAATCTGGTACAAAGATGTATGTTTTTATTCTTATTGTTGATTTTGGTTGTTGTGGTCTTTTTTGATTTGGGGTGTTTTGGGTTTGGGGGTTTTTTTTTGGTTTGGTTTGGGTTTTTTTGTTTCGTTTTTTGTAAAACCCTGGTCTGTGTTTTCGGAAGTTTCAGTCCACTTGTTTATCCATGTGCTAAATGGGATTGGTAGCTGTACAGAATTTAATGTGTCCGTTTCCATATAGATTTAATTGCTCATCCTTCTTAGTCAGATTTATATTGTGTGATGGAAATGAAAGATTTTTAAAAAATTTATCTCCTGTTAGAGCGTCTGTGAAAACTGGACCCTGATTGGGAAAGGGGTGTGTGTGGCAGCTGTGATTTAACATTGCCTTTGATCACAGTGCAGCCCTGTTTGAGGCAATGCTGCATGCAGGCAAAGCAAAGGCCTGGGTTTTACTGATCTCATGAGCTCCTGAATAGGGCTAGAAGGGGAATGACAGAGGAAGAAGAAAGCTTTGGAAATGAAAAGGAAACCCCGTGAACCCGACCAGCATTATTGGCTGGATTTGCCTACCAGGGAGCCGCTCAGTTTCTGCCAGGCTAATTCTGCTCCAACTTCTCTCCCCTACACCCCCGACCCCACCTCCCCCTCTCTCTTTCCTTCTTTCAGACTTTTTTTGTTTTTGAGGCATGGCTGCAGTAACTTGGTTCTCAGGCTGGGAACCCACTGAGCTGTTGCCATGGTCACTGGGAAGCTCTTCGCACCATGTGCTTCAAAGGGAACCTTTCCCCTCCTGGAATTCCTGCCTCCTCTGCCTACAGCACAATCAGGCTCCTTCTCCTTTGCCTGCCAGAGCACGTGCTCCGCCAGGGCAGCTTTGCTCTGGAGGAAGGGAAAAGCAGTGTTCCCTACAATACCTGTTGCGTGCCCGCATCCACTCTATTGTGATGGCAGTACCTGTGTGTGTCCCGCACATTCCAATACGCGGCCCTGCTGTTCTTCCCCCGCCCCAGTCATTTTTGAAGAAAATGACATCTGTCAAGACAGTGAAATACAACCCAGCAACGCGATTGTTTTTTTTTATTTCAGTACAGGATAGCTAGTGAGAAAATACCGAAGATTTGCTTAGAAGTCATACTTCTT